CTAATCGTGCCAGTACCATTCTTTCCATCACTTTTCCGACGCAGCTGGCTAACGCGATTGGTCTGTAGGAGGAAAGTGCATAAGGACATTTCCCCGGCTTGAGCAATGCAATAATGCGACTGCATTTCCAGTTAGCTGGGACTTCTCCTGACTCCCATGAAGTGTTATAATGAGATAACAGGATACGTCGTGCTTCTGTATCAAGATGGTTGAGTGAAGCATACGTGATTCCGTCAGGTCCTGGTGCCGATGATCGGCGGGAGGCAGAAATCGCAGCGTCAAGCTCATGTATTGTAAAACGCACATCAAGGTGCTAGTCAGACGATGGAGGCGCAGTGGTAGTAAGAAGCTCATTAGTGACAAGATCATCAGTGGTGTTCACGATGAGGCTACAGTAGTCACTGGCTATCTCAACTTCTGTCCGTCCCTGATGTAGAGCAACAGCTTGAAATGGTTGATGTTGTTGGGGAGTTGTCTGCAAACTTCGTACCACCCGCCAGATCTTAGATAGAGGTTGCCTGGGGTCCAGAGATCCACAGAAATTTCTCCAACGTTGCCTGTCAATCTTGTCAAGATGCCGAAGAACATGTCGTTGAGCTCGACGACAGGCGGAAAGGTCTGAAGGTGACTTCGTTCGTCTGTATCGGCGTTCGGCACGGCGACGGATTGCACGAAGGGCCTCGTATTGGGAGTCAACTGCTGATCTCTGCATCGGTAGGTTAACCTGTTTGGTTGTGTCACGCAGTGAAGAAGCAATGATGTTTTCTACCTCGGATTGATCAGTCGTGTGCTCACATCCAGACTCGACAGATGCCTTGAACAGTGTCAAGTCGGTTTGACGGATGCAGCGTGTGTGCGTGTGGCGAAACCACCTGAACTGAACATAGGTTGGAAGGTGGTCACTGCCGCGAGTGTCCAAATCTGTGCACCAACATGCGGAAAACAGAAGGTTTCTGGAAACGAAACAGAGGTCGAGGCAGCTGCTGTAGGACGTGCCACGAACAAATGTAGGTGATCCGTCGTTGAGTACGTTTAGTCCATAGTTGTATATAAAATTTGCTAAATCCTTTCCGCGATAAATCGTTGTAGTGCTACCCCAGAGAGGATGATGTGCATTAAAATCGCCGATCACAATGTGTGGCCTTTGTGCTGCTTGAAGAATGGTCCCCAGGTGGAAGCAGTCCATCTGTGCGCTTGGGTGTATGTATCCTCCTATTACTGAGAATGTTCGCTTTTTATGTGTTATAGTCAGGCTCACGTAATCATTGCTGGTATGCGACGCGACTTCATGTCTCAAGAATGTCAAATAACGGCGTATACAAACGAGAACTTTGCTCGTACGTTGATCACTGCGGGACCAAATCTGAATATATCCAGATATACGAAAGGTGAAACCATATTCGGTTCACATATAACGATAACAGGAAATTGATATTTAAAAACCCATTGTCTGAAGTCTGACAGACGGCCACGTAGGCCACGAGCATTCCATTGCATAACAAGCGACTGGCGCATGCGTTCTTCGAACATCAGTGCCATGTTCACTTACTGAAGAACCAGTAGAAGAGGCTCCAAAACCTCAAGTAGCTGCACAGCCGCCTTAGCAGCGGGAGTGTTTAGGCTGCTGAGAATCTTACGCATTGAACCCATCAAATTTTTAAGCATAGCCTTGACATCTGTGTTGTCCATCTTCTTGTTTTCTTCATTGGAGGTAGGGGCACTATGTGATGATGGCGCTACCGTAGCTCTTGACGGTAGTGAAGGCCACTGAGTCTCCGATGTGGGGAGAGCCAATGACAGGTTACATCGTACTTGCGTGGACTGTATTGGCATTTGAGCATCTGTATCCTCCTTTCTGGCCGACAAAAGTAGGCTAGGACGTGGTGAGGCCACGGTTTTGTGTGTTGAATTCGATAAGCTATGAGCACTGCTGCTTCGTTTGCGTCGATGTCGCGAACGATGTTTACGGCGCCGTACAGCCCTTGCAGCTTCTCTGTGAGTGGAGTGGTCTCGAACCATCTTCTTCGGGATACTAATTTCATTCCTCATTTTGGGACATTGATTGATTGATTTATATGTGGGGTTTAACGTCCCAAAACCACTATATGATTATGAGAGACGCCGTAGTGGAGGGCTCCGGAAATTTAGACCACCTGGGGTTCTTTAACGTGCACCCAAATCTGAGCACACGGGCCTACAACATTTCCGCCTCCATCGGAAATGCAGCCGCCGCAGCCAGGATTCCAACCCGCGCCCTGCGGGTCAGAGTACCTTAGCCACTAGATCATTTTGGGACATTCCTTTGATGTTGCGTCGTGGGCGCCTGAGCAGTTTGGGCATTTGGCCACAGCATTGCCGTTATCACCATCATGAGGGCCACCGCAATGCTTGCAGGTTACTGCACCCTTGCAAACTGCACTAACGTGCCCAAATTTCATGCATTTATGACATTGCAGAGGTTTTGGTACGTAAGGACGTACCGAGTGCCTCACGTACCCAACTTTTACATGTGTGGGTAACGTCTTCGACTGAAACACATCTTTAACACATCTTTAACACATCTTTAACACATCTTTAACAATGCTTGCAAAACAATGAACTACGCGAGCCAGCTACATGGATCGCGTAATAACCAATCATCTTTCACCTCACTGAGGCAACGACTGATCTCACACATTATGTCCTACCTGGAAGTTGATGCTAAAGGGTGATCAACTGAAAGTAAAACCAATTTACGAGGGGGTTATTCTAAAGTGGTACGTACGAGTGTACAACAGCTATAGGATGCTGCACAATGACGCAATCAAACAACATGAAGAGTTTCCGCAGCTAACCTTAACCACATCTAATCTCACTAATTTCGGTGAAATGAAGCACTGAAATATATTGCGACAAAACACTGAACCTAAAGAAAACATAGCGACTGAGCAAGTACGCGAGAAAACATTGCGGGACCCTTCAGCTTCGCCTTGAATAGTTGAACGCGATAGCGAAATCCGGCTCCTAGTGACCCCTTTCGACCGCTAAGTGCATACTTATTCATATGTTTTGTTACATACATTTGCACGCACACAGTAGATTGGACCAGCGCGTGCTATTATCGCCGAATGGGCTTGTTTTCATCGTGACACCTGTCGAACAAAATGCAGTAAAAGGGGCCCTGAAGCACTTTCTCGAGTAACCATAGAAGGAATTCACTAGAAGAGCTTACTGCCTCACGAATTCAACGCCACAAAAGTTTTAAGAATCCGTCCTGTGCGAGTGGAGTTAAAAAGGTTTGTCGCATGCTGCAATTGCATTATCTCTTGTCTCGTCCCGACGAAAGCACTGGAAGCTAAGCAGAGGACGGGTGGCAGGGCAAAGAAACTACCGCGCCTAGTGACCTTGAACAGTTTTTTTTTCTTCAAATGCGTAGCTTTTTTTCAGTGTGATCGTGCGCGCATGCGTGGGCAAGTAGCGGCCTCCCACGGCTATCTCGGTAACTTGATTTTTCGGTCACACACGCAGAGACGATTTTTCGCTCACAACCAACGAGGCCGACGCCGGTGGCGGGTTTTCTGCGACACGAGCTCTTTCACGCTGTCGCGTTAAAACTGACACAACAACTGCTGGGGTATTCCAGGGTGAGCGCATTCAAGATATTTTTCGAGACTCGATACTTCACGCGTACGCAGTGCTTGGCGCACCGGCAAGAGTGATGTCCGTAAATACGCGGATGCGTCTAATACAAATAGCACTATTACAGGTGAAACCCCCATATCCTTAAAATCACCCGTGAACAACTTAAATAGTTGTGATGCAAATATGGTGTCTCGCGAGTCGAAATCACATGATTATGCGGCAATAATTTTGCTGCATCTCAGCAAAAACGTGTTCCTGCTTTCCACTCCTGTCGGCTATTTCGGTAATGAAATTCATTCTTAGCAGCGCGACACAAACCTGATTATAATTTTCGTACGACTGAGCGCGAGCACCCTTAGTCAGAAGCAAAAGTAAACACTTTTTTATTGTTTTACCGAGCACATTGTTGATGCTGCTTTTTTTCATTGATCTCTACCTTGAGGCAAGCAACGAGCGAATGCAAACAGCGGAACAGCGTAATAAGCAAGCACATGCTATGTCGGCACGCAACGGCGGGCGTCGAAGAGTCCTTGCCGTGACGTCACCAGGCCTTCCACTCTGCGCCACCGCTCCAACTTTTCGGGGCTAATAGCTCTCAACTTGAACTAGAACTGTATATTTTTCAGAAGACTTTTCCTGAAAATTCTAAAGCCGTAAGTGAGTTTTAGACCAGATATTTTTTTAAAAAGAAACAAGAGTGCCACCAGGTGCTCTCGTTACAAATAGGGACCCTTGCAGTATAAGTTGAGCATGCGAAAGTTGCGTGATGACTAGATTTACATACACAACTACACAACTAAACACACACACACAACTACACACACACAACACACACACAACTACACACACACACACACACACAACTACACACACACACACACACACAACTACACACACACACACACACACAACTACACACACACACACAACTACACACACCACACACACACACCACACACACACAACTACACACACACACACACAACTACACACACCTACACACACACACAACTACACACACACACACAACTACACACACACACAACTACACACACACACACACACAACTACACACACACACACACACAACTACACACACACACACACACACACTACACACACACACACACACAACTACACAACTACACACACACACACACACACACACACCACAACTACACACACCACACACAACTACACAACTACACACACACACACACACACCACACACACACACAACATACATACATACATACATACATACATACATACATACATACATACATACATACATACATACATACATACATACATACATACATACATACATACATACATACATACATACATACATACCCAATAAAGAAGTGCTTGCTCACCTCGAAGACGGAAGTGACCCTGAGCCTGTAGATGACGGGCACCACAACGCGAGCGATGAACGGCACCAGGCAGAAGACGGTGACCGAGCCCCACATCAGGTGCAGCCCGTAGCGGTAGAAGTGCGCAGTGATGCCGATCACACCGACCGCAGTGACCAGGGACGCGAGGACGGAGAGTGACAGGGGCAGCGTGCCCAGGCTGCGATCGCCCAAGAACGCCTCGCTGGTACCACCGTCCCGAGAGCGACGGCCGAACGAGAAGTAGAGGCCGACCAGAAGGTTGGACAGCATGAGCACGCCGAACACCACGTACTCGGCAATATGCACTGCCACTGCCATGTTGGTTCCTCGCGTATAGGTGTTGCCCCTTGTTGTCTCGCTTCGAACGTTCTGCTTTTTTTTCTTAAATGTCTTTTTTTGGTTCTGTGGCTCCTCTAAGTTAGTACTTTGTCAGACTTGGTTCGCTCTCCTAAGACAGTGTAGAGGCGTGAGTCATGTGCTGCATTACGTAGCTACTCCCAGGTCACCAGACAAGAGCAGCATGACCGTAACAAGGTTTTATCCCCGCCAGCTGCACATGGGTAGCACTGACGTCGAAGTGGTTATATGCCCAGGCAATAGTTTACTGGCCGATGCGTATGTACGGCTAATCTTGTAGACCTCACCAGCACGGCACGACGGCTGGAGAATTAGTTTACAGTGGAGGGCCTGGCAAGCGCATGTAACTGCAGTAACTTCGTACCTAAACGAGCAGGCCCAGTAGTGACCACTTCTTATGGAAAATTTTGTGTGGTACGGTAATGCAAGGTCTTCACCGTACTAGCTAGCATCCCAGGTCGACCCAGATTAACAACTGCATTGTAGGCAACTCACCAAAAGCCTGCCCCTGGATGCCGGATTTTGCTGGTAGATACGAGTTCTTCCTGCTTTGGTTCGACGCGGACGCCAATAGACCAGTTTGCCGACAAGTCAACGTCAGAGGCTATGAAGGCGGGGCTATGTCGTTCGTCCAGTGGCTTTCAGGATAATGTCGCTGGTCCGATTTTCGTGACGTTCGTTCGCTCTGAGTGAAACTCTGCCTGGAACGTGCTTTCGCAAAGTTAACGAGACGTCCTCTCTTACCTTCGCAGGTCAAGCCTCCCCTTTAAACAATTTATGAAACTTCAGATTGCAGTCATTAAGCTCAAGTGAATTTCACCTCAGTGAGTGGTTAATAATCTTCATGTTTCCGAAACGCAGCCAGACGTCAAATAGGAGCCTATGCGTGGCGCGGTGTACTTATGGCTCGAACGTCTCTACGCGCAAAGGGAGGCTTCGGCTGTCTTTAAGCGTCATGCGAAGCCTGCGAATAAAAAAACGTGTGGCGTCTGGGAAAGCTTCCGCTGACTCGGTGCACTCGGGGTCACTTCCGACGAGAAACGATAAAAGTAAAGTTCACCGTTAAATCGGCAAACGCGTCAGCGGCTCGTTCTCTGCGTCTAATTAAAAACACTCGGCAAGCAACAGGACTCCGCGTACAATATGTGACATTTGGAAATCACTCACCCCCTCGCATCTGCTCCAGGAATGCCAAACGAGGAGCGGAATGTCGTCCGAGTTCGTCTAACACACGTCCGTGTATCCAGGAAGGTATGGCATTCTGGTGACGGTCGAACGGCTGCCCTCGCACTTTTCCGTCGGCATTTCTGCGGATAGCTGTGTACTGCATTCCTCCAATAGAGATAGGCTTTTGACTGGCGTGTATATCAAGCACAGTTTATTGAAGTTCAACTCCATCGATCTATGGCGTATGCGTATTTTTTTACTGAACACATGGATGAAAGTGGTCACATGTTTTACGTGCTGATTGACACAGCACCTTCAACAAAATATATACTGTAATTACGTAGTAGCATAGATAACTTTACGTTGGCAAATACCTAAGGCCGCATTGATGCTGCTTCAAATCCCAACTCTGTCTATAGCTTCTGGTATCCAGCTTGAGCGGCAGGTGTCACGACCACGACGAATACGCGTCGTACATTTTGGTGCCTGCCACTTTCGTTCGTTACCGCCGCTGCCGAAACACCCTTACTTGGACATGCCCGAAGTGCACTGAAAACAATGCCCCGTCATGGGCGACTAATTAAAGTGACAAAACTGCAACCGACCATATTGATTGAAAGCCGTATGGGTAGGACGTGTGTAGCACGTACATACTCTACACTCACGGATTGAAATAGGACACTTGGAACACGTGACCGCCGGCAGAGATAGCGAAGCTGTGCTCGTGGAACCATGGTGTTGCATTGTAGTATAGAGTGAGAGCGAGAACACCTACAAGGCAGGACTACTCTTTCCGGTCGCTAAAGAGTCGGTATTTAATTCACTAAGTGCGCACTGCCAGCGGGGCAGCGCTATAGGCTAGCACGCTTTCGCATGCCGACAGAAATAGATCGCCGGTGTACACTACTTATACTGCGGCGCGAGTAGACGAGGCTCTCGTCCAGCGACTTGGGTTGTTGCTGCACCTATAGGCTCTGCAAGTAAAAAAACATGATTCGGCTGAGAGATTGCATTTTCCGTGCGTTCGCAGACATGATGAAAATAAGCGTCTGCACAAAAGTGCAGTGTGTTTCTTTCGAGCTTTCTGTCGCGATGAAAAAAAAAAAATAGCAGCCACAGGGCTTTCCTCGTGCGACATTGAAAGAGTATTAGAGATATATAGTGTCCTTCCGACAACCTGTGGGCTGCCGTCGATGAAGAATGGCAGAAGCTGGCACGAGTATCCGTGGCCGTTGACAGAAACCACGTAATCAACTTACTATGCTTTCGTGCAGGTGTCTGCGAATGCATGTAAGGCACAATCGCTTAGCCGAGTCGTGTTTCTTACAGAGCACGCGTGCTGCATCACAGAGGAGGCGCAGAACGCGAGCCATTTCTGTCGGCATGCAAACGCACGCTAGCGTAGCAGCGCTACACTGGTAGTGGGCGCCTGGGTAACTACAGGCCGACTCGTTGGCCATCGGAAGCAGCAGTGCTGCTTTGCGGATGTTCTCGCCCTCGCTCTATACAACAATGCAACACATTGGTTCCACGAGAACCCACGAGCTGCGCAAGCAGTGCCGGTGGTCACGAGTTCCAGGTGTCCTATTTCAACCCGTGAGTACTGTACATGGTGCCACCGCTTGGCTCACTGACATTAGCCAGTGTCCATCACAAGCGGCTGGCGCGAGCCATGGACGGGCGCCAGAAAAGGTTGCCAGTCGGTAAATGGGCCCGTCCTGTAAATATTGATGTTTGGAAGGCATAAATGACACCGACTTCCCCTCTTTCTTGGCGCTTCAGCTGGCACCCGACTGTAAAGTAAGAATCCTGAACACACAAATGTTTCGTTACATCGGAATGGATGACTTGTCATTCGTTTTCTTTTTTATTCCTCAACGTTCCTTCATTCGTTCGTCTATTGTTCCCGTCCGCTTAGATGCCCAATCGTGCTACTGGTCAAGAGCAGAACAGATAAATTTATATTGTACATGTATTATAGGAGTGACTTAACTTCAGGGCTCTCCCTGTGAACCGGTACGAACATTGCTGGGCACGGCACTGTAGAACGAATCGTAAGCTCAGGATGGCTGAATATTTACCAGTTATCAGTCGCACGAGCCTCTAGTGACACTCTTTGCTCTATTTTCCGGGGACGTAGGCAGAAGTCTTTTAGGGGCGAGCTCCTTAGGGTGGGGGTCGTCTCCTCCTCTGTAGTAGCAGTATAATAATAATAATAATAATAATAATAATAATAATAATAATAATAATAATAATAATAATAATAATAATAATAATAATAATAATAATAATAGTTGTAGTAGTTGTAGTTGTAGTAGTAGTAGTAGTAGTAGTAGTAGTAGTAGTAGTAGTAGCGGGAGGAGGAGGTGGCCACCTCTAGTTTGTGAGTTGCTCAATAGATGGCGTTGTGTGTATATGCCCTTGGCATATACACACAACGGACATAGACAAGGACGAATCAAGTGGTGCAATGGCTCCATTTTCACAACGAGAGTGGGAAAGGGCTGAGAAAGGGGTTCCTAGTAGTACATCAACAGGCCCAGATGGCATTCCAATTAGGCTGATAAAGACATTAGGTCCGAAGTCTAAGCAGGCTTTGAGAGAGGCAGTGAACAAAATAATAATCGATGGTGAAGTTCCCGATGGATGGAAACTTAGCAGGATGAGCATGATCTATAAAGGAAAGGGGGACAAAGCTGACATAAACAACTACCGTCCTATAACAGTGACATCAGTAGTCTACAGGCTGGCGATGCAGATTATAAAGGAAAGACTGCAGGCATGGATAGAAGATGAGGGGGTGCTGGGGGAACTGCAGAATGGGTTTCGGAAACACAGGAGGTTGGAAGACAATCTGTTTTCAATGACGCAGTGCATCGAAATAGCAGAAAAAGAACACAGGCCCCTGTGGCTAGCATTCTTGGATATAAAGGGAGCGTACGATAGCGTGGTTCAAGAGGAATTGTGGGGAATACTGGACACACTAGGCGTGGAACATGTAGTCACTAATCTTTTTAAAGGGTATCTATAAGGTAACAAGGTAGTTATAAAGTGGGAAAAACAGGTATCCAAGCCTGCAGAGGTAAAACGGGGGCTTAGGCAGGGGTGCCCCCTGTCACCCTTATTATTCATGATGTACCTACAAGGATTAGAGGCAAAATTAGAGGGAAGTGGGCTGGGCTTCAACCTCTCTTTAGTCAAACAAGGAAAACTTATTGATCAGGCACTACCAGCATTAATGTACGCAGATGATATAGTGCTAATGGCCAACAACAAGGAAGATATACAGAGATTGATGGACATCTGCGGTAATGAGGGAGATAGGTTAGATTTTAGATTCAGTAAGGAAAAATCAGCAGTCATGATTTTCAATGAAAACGAAGGTAGTGAGCTTAATATACAGGAGGTCACGCTAGAGATAACAGATAAATACAAATATCTGGGCGTATGGATAAGCAATGGGACCGAGTACCTGAGGGAACATGAAATATACGTGACGACTAAAGGTAACAGGAATGCAGCAGTGATGAAAAATAGGGCACTGTGGAATTACAATAGGTATGATGTTGTGAGAGGAATATGGAAAGGGGTCATGGTTCCTGGGCTGACGTTCGGCAATGCTGTCTTGTGCATGAGATCAGAAGTTCAAGCAAGATTAGAAATTAAGCAACGTGGAATAGGTAGGCTTGCTTTAGGAGCTCACGGGAATACACTAAATCAGGGAGTACAAGGTGATATTGAATGGACATCATTTGAGGGCAGGGAAGCTAGCAGCAAGATAAAATTTGAGAAGCGATTGAGAGAAATGAAGGAGGAGCGTTGGGCCAGGAAGGTTTTCAGCTACTTGTACATGAAGAATGTCGATACAAAATGGAGGAAGCGAACCAGGAAGTTGACTGGTAAATACTTAGAAAACAGCAGGTGGCCAAACCAAAAAGAACTATCGGTTAAGAAGAAAGTGAAGGAAACGGAGACTGACATGTGGAAAATGGGCATGATTAAGAAGTCCGCACTAGAGATCTATCGAACTTTTAAGCAGGAAATTGCCAAGGAAAGGATCTATGATAATACTCGGGGTAGTTTTCTACTGTTTGAGGCAAGGACGGGAGTACTGCGAACCAAGACATATCAGGCCAAATATGAAGGGGTAGACACAGTATGCAGTGCGTGTGGAGAGGAAGAAGAAACTGCCGAACACTTGATAATGTTCTTAAAGGGCTTCACCCTATAGTTCAGGATGATGGCGCAGAGTTTTTCAAAGCACTGGAGTTTAGGGACCGGGAGGGCAAAATAGACTTTAAGCAAGTAGACTTAACTAGAAGGGGGTTATCTGATTGGTGGCTAAAGTCAAGGCACGAGTGAAAATTAAACTCTTCACTGCAAAGTACGAATCCTCAAACTCACTTTTTCAGAAAAAAAAATATAGTTTTGGGTTAATTAAGTATTACGGCTTGGTGGCGCTAGCCACCGCCCGATCTAAAGGGTACAGCCATATCCATCCATCCATCCATCCTTGGAAATAAAATCACTAGAGGGCGTTAGCGGTTTTCATATAGTTTGACGGACAGACCAACGGACGAAAGAATGGACGCTTCCGCCCACTCGTCATCATTCACTCCGTGGATATGCTGCGAATTTTTTTGGAGGGGAGCACGTCCCTGATGACATTTGCGGCCCCTGAAGAAGTTGACCACGCTATATATATATGTTTGCGGTCGGTGTAGCCTTTCACCAAGAACGGAAGCACTGGTCAGTGACGTGGCTGACCGGAGACTCGGGACAAAA